CTTAAAAGCCCCAGATAATTGTCTGAGTTTCAGGTACCAGACAGGATTTTCTTCTTGCCAAATCCAATTAAAAAGCTGTTGAATATCACCAAGAAAAGACTGCCAGCATGGCACTTTTTGAGTAATTGTACCATGATAGTCATTGTTGTAATTCATGTTAATTTAATCATTTTCTTTTTCTTGCCTTAATTCTCAGGCTGAGAAATTAAGCACTATATTAAATAAAAGTAACGAGAGTATAAACCTTTGTCTAGTTAATTATTTTGGGGGAAATGCTTTTGTTTTTCTACATTTACTACAAATATTGACTATTTTAATCTTATGTATATTTTTATATTCTATTAATTCTTTGATAATTCCATCAATTGAATTTTGATCATAATATCATAATATAATCCCCTTAGCTTTTAAATTAATTAAATTCACCACTTCCTACCTTCATACCCCTCATAAAATCATAACTGGTCAAAGTACTGGTTAAAAAAGGTGGTCAAGGAGAGTTAGTAACCTGGAGTGCTCAGCCACAAGTGGGACATCTTTACCGTACCCTGCTCCCTGTCTCATGGAGTGTAACTATGAAGGAAACGGCAAGAGAGAGAGATCTGTAAGACTGGAGCCAAAGGAGGTCTTCTGAGCAATGACAGGACCACTGCACTCACTAGTTCATCGAAACTGTAGTTGTCTAAACTGCACAAGATCAAGCCAGGCAGCAATGTCTAGTCTTTAATATGCTGGTACTCTAGATTCATCTGAACTTAATATTTGTCTATTTTTACTATGTATATTTGTGCCTTTCTTTACTTATTTGCACATATGCCTATGAAGACCAGAAAGGAGCCTATGACACCCTGGAGCTGGAGTTCCAGATAATAGTGGGTTTGACAACATGGGAGTTTATCTTGTGTCCTTTGCAATATTGGCAGTTTTAACTGCTGACTCATCTCACTAGTCCCTTAACAGACCTTCTTCTTATTAATTTAATTTTTGAGAATTTTGTATATGAGTAATAAACATTATTCTATACATCCAACTCCTCCTAAGTTTTCCCTACTCTATCTAAAATTTATAACCTCTTCTTTAATTATTATTATGTACACATATTTGTATATAATTTTTATTGAAAACATACTAAATTGTGTCAAATCATTTTGCTTACATCTTTTGATCTGCAGAAAAATGAAAACCCTTATGTTAAAGGAAATAAGAATATAAAAGGCAAATTGTCATGTGATCTTTTATGCTTAGAATCTAGATCCATCCCAAATGACATTCATGGTATTGGAAGGTCTTCTGCATGTTTTGGGGGTCAAAAAGTAGTCAATAATGTCACCAAGCTGTGAACAATGTTAGATATCTAACTGCCCTGACAACAAACTCTATGGAAGTAACCAAAAGCTTTATGACTAGATTTAATGCCTACTTTCACAAGGCAGAACTCATACCAGGTACCATTAACTGGAGCCAAAACTAGTAGTTAGCTAGGTCAGGATTCTAGGAGAGAACCTAATACTGTATTACTGCTTAATAAATTATTATGCATTCCATCTCAAAGTTCTTATCTTTCTAATCATTGGTTAGTTCATCTCTCACCCCTCATCAGAGAAGCTTCTTTTTAGAGTAAACAGATGGCAATTATATAAAGACCTACAACTGACCAATGTACAGAGAGAAAAGACTGTA